TTTACTCCACTCTAGCCTTTCTCCCCTCTCTGGAGAATGGGGGTGGGGCTGAAAATCCCAAGCTGCTAACCATGGTTTGGTCTCTCTGATGACCAGCCCCCATCCAGGCGCCCACCAAGAGTCATCCCATTAGAACCACAAAAAGACACCCCTATCACCCAGGAAATTCCAAGGGACTTAGGAGCTAAGTGGCAGAGACCAAAATATACTTTTCTAAAACAAACTTTTCTATTTCAATTGGGTTAAACATCTATTAGGAAGGTTGATAATGTATTTGGTTAAATATGCCCCTTTGTCTGATCATTGATGGCAACATGAAAGTGGTCCAAAAATTAAACAGCAACAACAAAAGTGTCCTCAACGTGGGTGCCTGCTTCAATGTTTTTAAACAACTTTGTTGAGGTATAATTTATGTATCATAAAACCCACTTGTTTTAAATGTGCAACTATCACTATAATTCAGTTTCAAGATTCAATTTTAACGTGTAAACCTCAACCATATTAAACGGAAAACTCACTGTCATTATTGGGCTGGATTAAGATCTTTAGGGTAGAAAACACAGAGCAGGATTTGTTTCTCTGTCCTGATTCTTCACCCTCCCTTCTTCTTTCTCTCCTTTTCTTGGTTCTCTCCCTCCCACTTAGTGTGTTAGGTACAATTAAGAGGATAATTCCTGCCCCAATCAGGAAGACAGTCAGAAAAAGTGATGAAAGAGATCAACACATTTTTTGTGGAAGGGTCATCATGGATTGAAGGGTTGTCCTGAGTATTATGGGTCACCTTTATCTCAGCCTCACCCAGATCCTGGAAGATTTAGGGACTCAGCTCAATAAACATTTTTCGTGTACTTGTGCTCCATGCTGCAATACAGAGATAAGAACTCAGCCCTGTCCTGATTTAAGCAGCTTTAATTCAACCTCGGGAGACTAAGCATCAATCAATGCTACTGGTCTGACTGACCTTGTGACCCATTTCCAGCATCTCAATCTTTGCCATTGGGGAAATACAGGCATACTCCATTTTATTGCATTTGGTTTTATTGTGCTTCACAGATGTTGCTTTTTTTTTTTTACAAATTGAAGGCAAGACCCTCCACCAAACAGAGATGACCATTCACTTCATTGTGGTGGTCTGGAACCAAACCCACAATACCTCCGAGGTCTGCCAGGAAGTCTTCCCTATTGACTGACAGGGCTTGTTCCCACTTCCTTCAGCTCTCTGTTCCAAAGGCACCTCCTTGACCAAGGAGCTAAAATTTCAACCTGCGTCCAGCTGGTGTGACTCAGTGGTTGAGCATCAACCTGTGAATCAGGGCATATGTCCGGACTGGACTATGTGAACTTTAAGGGTCAGCCAAAAAGCATCTGTGGTGACACGGAACCAGGCAGTTTCTGTTAATGTTAACGTGATCTCCAGTGTGGGCGTGCAGGAGGTACCCAATCAATGATTCTCTCTCATTGATGTTTCTATCTCTCTCTCCCTCTCCTTCCTATATATATAATAAAATTATATATATAATAAATTTCAATCTCTTCCAATGGAAACATCATAATCCCCTTCTCTGCTTGATTTTCCTCCCCTCCCCCTTTTCACTCTCCAATGCAATTTATTTTACTTATTTATTATGTTGTGTATATGTTGTGTATTCTCTGCTTCCTCCATTAGACTGTAAGTTCTGTGAGGGTAGGGATTTGAATCTGTTTTCTTCTGTGTCCTAACCCTGGTTCCTGATACATAGTCCAAACTCCAGTAATATTTGTTAGTGAATTACTGAACGTCTTCTCCTTATCTTGTTCCTCAGTGTGGGGACCCCACCCTGACAATGTACTTTATCAAGACCTGGGATGATGCCTTGATCCTATCTCACCCAGGCAGAGACAGTGCCTCAGTCTGGAATGGGATTCTGAAGCTTTGAGCTTGCAGCTCTGAACACTGCCTGGCCCAGCCGCCTTGCTCTTGGAACTGTCTCACTTATGAATCTGTTTCCACAACATGTTGTTGCTTGTTCCTCCCCTGCCTCAAACTGTTGCTGCCTGGCCCAGCGCTGGCCCCCCCCAACTAGTCTTAAGAACTGGCTTATCCCTGTCTGCCCCAGTTAATTAACCTTCTCTGTGTGACAGCTTACAAGACTGGACAGAAGGCAGAACACCCATGATGCTATGTGAATTAAAACACCAGCCAGTGGGAATGAATGACCAAGGGAGGATGGAAGCATTTACCCCACACCATGCTGAATGCTTGAATTCTCCCAGAGAATTGCTTTGAAAGCAGCTGAAAAAAAAAGTTTAAACATTTTGAAATCATTACTGATCCCTGAAATTAGTTGCTTAAAAGTAGTCTTTAAAGTCACTCTTGTATAATCATAATATGTCTGGGCTACATTTTCCTAGTAAAATCTTGAGTGGTTATAACTCACAGTCCTTATTCCAAGCTCCCGGCCAACATCAGTTTTCAAGACTCTCATTAGTTTCTCATTGAAAAAAAAATTTTTTTTTTCTGCCCTAAAGTTGAGGCCAAAAATACTCTTGAAGTCTTCTACTCCAAGATACACTAAGGCTTGTAAAACACACATATAACTTTCACTCCTGCCAAGTATACAGTAGAAGCTAACTTTAGGTAGCAAAAGCACAGGGATGAGGCGGTGAAGCTGTAACAGATCCTGGAGGGGACAGTCCTTAGGCTTTATCTGTCTCTGGGTGACTGATTTCTCCATGTGCGTGGTGATACCATATTTGGAAGTACTACTAGCAGGTTTTATTTGTGGGTCAAGACAAGGATGGGTGAACTGAGTGTATTAGGACTTTCAGGAGCTCACATAGAGTCCCCTTTGGTTTACTGGGTTTCCTTTTCGTCATCTTGGCAGAAGCACTTCCATGAGCCATGGGGAGAGGTTAGGGTGGTAGTTCCTTCGCGTGGACGCAGGATGGGAGGACATAAAGCCGGCCCTGTTGGATGACTACGGGACCACTCAGCTGAACCTGGTGCTGCTGGAAGGCTTAACTCTCCCCATCATAGAATAGAGTTCTGGGTCTTCATTCCGCAAAGAAACCCTTTAAAAAGGCACCAGACTGCATGGACACCGTCCTCTACCGGCGAACTCCCTTCTCCATTCTCCTATTTTGCAGTTAACACCAGAAGCAAGAGACCATTGCTTTAGATTTTTTTTGTTGTTTTTGGGGGTGGGGAAGGGAGGGGGGAGAACTAGACATTCTAAGCACGTCCCTACGGTAGGAGTTCGGTTTTAAGGTGGAGATTAGGGTGGGCCCGATGCCCAGTGGTTAGCGCGGCCACAGATTCCTCAGGACTTGCACCTCCCCGCTCGTCTTACCCCATCCAAGGGAGCCAGGTGGTGGGGATGCATCCAGGTCTTCTGTCCACGAAAGCAGGGCCCGCCCGGGCTGGACTATGTGAACTTTAAGGGTCAGCCAGGTGAGACCGAACCAGGCAGTTTTAACGTGAGGATCGCAACTCCTCCCTCGCTCGTCCCCTGGTCCGGAGCTGCAG